TCGACACCACAGGGGGTGCGCAGGGGGTGGTCCCTGAGCTCGGCCGCTATGCACGACGGTCGTCCAGGCATAGCAGGCGTGGCACTTTCTCGACACCACAGGGGGTGCGCAGGGGGTGGTCCCTGAGCTCGGCTGCTATGCACGACGGTCGTCCAGGCACAGCAGGCGTGGCACTTTCTCGACACCACAAGGGGTGCGCAGGGGGTGGTCCCTGAGCTCGGCCGCTATGCACGACGGTCGTCCAGGCACAGCAGGCGTGGCACTTTCTCGACACCATAGAGGGGTGCGCAGGGGGTGGTCCCTGAGCGCGGCCGCTATGCACGACGGTCGTCCAGGCATAGCAGGCGTGGCACTTTCTCGACACCAGAGGCGGTGCGCAGGGAGTGGTCCGCGAGGGCCGCTATGTACGACGGTCGTCCAGGCACAGCAGGCGTGGCACTTTCTCGACACCAGAAGGGGGTGCGCAGGGGGTGGTCCGTGAGCGCGGCCGCTATGTACGACGGTCATCCAGGCATAGCAGGTGTGGCACTTTCTCGACACCACAGGGGGTGCGCAGGGGGTGGTCCCTGAGCGCGGCCGCCATGCACGACGGTCGCCCAGGCACAGCAGGCGTGGCTTTTTCTCGACACCAGAAGGGGGTGCGCAGGGGGTGGTCCCTGAGCTCGGCCGCTATGCGCGACGGTCGTCCAGGCGTGGCAGGCGTGGCACTTTCTCGATGATGATGATGCTGCTGCTGATGATGATGCTGATGATGCTGATGATGATGCTGATGATGATAATGATGATGATGACGAGGAGGATGATGCTGATGCTGCTGATGATGATGATGATGATCATGATGATGATGGCGATGATGATGCTGCTGATGATGATGATGGTGATGCTGCTGATGCTGCTGATGATGATGATCATGACGATGATGATGATGATGATGATGATGATGATGATGATGATGATGATGGTGATGATGATGGCGGTGATGATGATTATGATTATTCTGATAATGCTGCTGCTGCTGCTGCTGCTGCTGCTGCTGCTGATGATGATGATGATGATGATGATGATGGTGGTGGTGGTGGTGATGATGATGATGATGATGATGATGATGATGATGATGATGATGATGATGATGGGTGATGACGAGAAGGAGGTGCCGCAACCGACCGCTGTTCTGTCACGGTCGTTGTGCCCACGGCCCGACGCTGGGCCATTCGGGCTGGGGCTGGCCTCGCGGCTCCGATCGCCCCACCCTGGCGATCGACAGGGGCGTAAGGTGGCCAGACTGGCCTTCCTTCTCCTCCTTCTCCTCCTCCTTCTCCTTCGCCTCGTCCTGTCTCCTCCTCCCTCCCCCCTCCTCCCCTCTCCTCCCTCACCCCTCCCTCCCCTCTCCTCCCCTCCTCCCCCTCCTCTCCCGACGTTCGACGACGACCCTCGTCCTCCTCCTCCTCTTTCTCCTCCTCCTCCTCTTTCTCCTTCGCCACGTCCCCAGCGATACAACCAGGCGGCCTTTTTCTTTTCTCTCTTCTCCTTCGGGCGGAGCGTGGGCCTACCCTCCACCCTGAGCATGGTCTGGCTCTTGCCCTAGGCCGTAGGCTTGGCGACGCGGTCTTAGAAGAAGGTCTTGTCCTTGTCCCTCAGGCCGCTACGGCCGAACCGAGGTACAATATTGAGGCCGGTTCGGGTAGGGCACTCTCATGTTCTGTTTGATTGCCGACTGTTCTTGTGCATCCTTGGTGAGGGTTATCTCGAATGTTCTTCAGCTGGGCCTGCGGAGGGTCTCATGTTCTTGAAGGGTGTTCTTCTGTCCTAGGTCTGGCCGTACAGTGCAAACCCATGGCAAGAATCACCCTGCTTGCCTCCGTGGTGCCCTGGGTTTCTTAGGGTTCGATGGTTTTGCTGCTATGATTTCGAGTTGCTCCCTGCACGGCCCCCCCCTTCGCTCAGGAACCAGGCCGAGCGCCCCAGGCAGGCCGAAGGCGAGGCGCCTACGCCTTGCTTCCATACCATTCGCATGGATACCTGAACTTATCCTGTCCAGCTCTGTTGTGACTAGGACTGAACTCATCCCCTGAGTTCCTTTACCTTGTTTTGCCTCCTCCCTTCCGTTTTCCACAGTTGCACATGTTAGTGGCCCTCGGCCCATGCCGCCACCGTTTGGGGCGCCCTCGGCTCCGAACGAGTCATGCGGGAAGCGCCGTGGAACCGCGAGAGGCACGTTGGGAACCCCAGAACACCCTTCTCCGTTCTTCACAGTCATGCCGTGTGGGTTTTACTCTCCTCTATTCCCTGGTACTGTCCGTTTTGGGGCGCCAACCTCCCGAATACGGCTTTTCGACACAGGTTTTCAATTGGATCGCTTTCGGTCCTCAGCATCGTGTTCCCAATGCGGCAGTGGCAGCATTTCAGGATCGGTGATTTGTGACCGTCGGTCAGATTTGCGCTCGCGCCCCAGCGCGGGCCACATTTTTCCCTACATGCTTCGTGGGGTTCTGGTTTTCTTCCTTGCCGCGCCGCACCCGCGACACTCACACCTCACCTCTCTCTCCTTCTCACACAGCGCAGCACAGCACAGCACAGCACAGCACAGCACAGCACAGCACAGCACAGCTCAACGCAGCACAGCACAGCACAGCACAGCGCAGCACAGCACAGCACAGCACAGCACAGCTCAGCACAGCTCAGCTCAGCTCGGCACCGCACAGCACATCACAGCACAGCTCAGCACAGCATAGCACACAGGGCAGGCGCGCAGGGCACGGCACGGCAGAGCGTGGCGGGGGTGGCACTTTCTCGACACCAGAGGGGGTGCGCAGGGGGTGGTCCCTCAGCGCGGTCTCTATGCGTGCCAGGGTCGGAGAGCGTGGCAGGGGTGGCACTTTCTCGACACCAGAGAGGGTGCGCAGGGGGTGGTCCCTGAGGGCGGCCGCTATCCGTGACGGTCGTCCACGGCATAGCAGGCGTGGCATATTCTCCACACCATAAGGGGGTGCGCAGGGGGTGGTCCCTGAGGGCGGCCGCTATCCGTGACGGTCGTCCATGGCATAGCAGGCGTGGCATAGTCTCCACACCATAAGGGGGTGCGCAGGGGGTGGTCCCTGAGGGCGGCCGCTATCCGTGACGGTCGTCCACGGCATAGCAGGCGTGGCATATTCTCCACACCATAAGGGGGTGCGCAGGGGGTGGTCCCTGAGGGCGGCCGCTATCCGTACGGTCGTCCATGGCATAGCAGGCGTGGCATAGTCTCCACACCATAAGGGGGTGCGCAGGGGTGGTCCTGAGGGCGGCCGCTATCCGTGACGGTGGTCCAGGCATAGCAGGCGTGGCATATTCTCCACACCATAAGGGGGTGCGCAGGGGGTGGTCCCTGAGGGCGGCCGCTATCCGTGACGTTCGGTCCAGGGCATAGCAGGCGTGGCATATTCTCCACACCATAAGGGGGTGCGCAGGGGGTGGTCCCTGAGGGCGGCCGCTATCCGTGACGGTGTCCAGGCATAGCAGCGTGGCATATTCTCTCACCATAGGGGGTGCGCAGGGGGTGGTCCCTGAGGGCGGCCGCTATCCGTGACGGTGGTCCAGGCCGTAGCATGCGTGGCATATTCTCGGCACTATAGGGGGTGCGCACGGGGTGGTCCCTGGGGGCGGCCGCTATCCGTGACGGTGGTCCAGGCCGTAGCAGGAGTGGCATATTCTCCACACCATAGGGGGTGCGCAGGGGGTGGTCCCTGCGGGCGGCCGCTATCCGTGACGGTCGTCCAGGGCATAGCAGGCGTGGCATATCCTCCACACCATAAGGGGGTGCGCAGGGGTTGGTGTCTGAGAGCGGCCGCTATCCGTGACGGTCGTCCACGGCATAGCAGGCGTCAGGGGGTGCGCAAGTAGCAGGGCATAGCAGGCGTGGCATATCCTCCACACCATAAGGGGGTGCGCAGGGGGTGGTCCCTGAGGGCGGCCGCTATCCGTGACGGTGGTCCAGGGCATAGCAGGCGTGCCATATTCTCGACACCATATGGGGTGCGCAGGGGGTGGTGTCTGAGAGCGGCCGCTATCCGCGACGGTGGCGTAGCAGGCGTGGCATATTCTCGACATTATAGGGGGTTCTCACGGGGTGGTCCCTGGGGTTGGCCGCTATCCGTGACGTTGGTCCAGGGCATAGCAGGCGTGGCATATTCTCGACACCATATGGGGTGCGCCGGGGGTGGTCTCCGAGAGCGGCCGCTATCCGTGACGGTGGCGTAGCAGGCGTGGCATATTCTCGACATTATAGGGGGTCTCACGGGGTGGTCCCTGGGGTTGGCCGCTATCCGTGACGGTGGTCCAGGGCATAGCAGGCGTGGCATATTCTCGACACCATATGGGGTGCGCCGGGGGTGGTTTCCGAGGGCGCCGGCTATCCGTGACGGTCGTCCAGGGCATAGCAGGCATGGCATATTCCCGACACCACAGGGGGTGCGCAGGGGTGGTCTTTGAACGCGGCCGCTATCCGTGACGGTAGTGCTCAAGGCACATCGGTACGCAAGCTTGCTATCCGTGCCAGTCGTGCTCAGGGCACAGGGAAACGCAAGCGAGGTTTGTGGTGTTATCATCAAGCATGTGTAGCCACCTTGGCTCATGCCGTCTCAGGCCGTTCGGGTTTGTACGCAGGCGTCCTCGCGCCAGTGATTGTTCGTCAAAGGTGCGGCGCCCGTCATGGCGCCCAAATGTGCCATGTCCGCGCTGCCGCCTCCGTGCGAGCAGCTCAAAGACTCAATGCTCGAAACATTCGCGACGAGGGTTCAAAACGCAGGGTTTGGCACATATGATAATGGTAAGCAAGCGCATAAGATTTAAATTCGGTGTGTGGGGTTCCTCGGTAGCGTAATTTGCTGATCGCATTCGTTCCTCGTCGTTGCCGCCCCTCGTTTTCCCTTCTCCGCCTTCCTTTGTCCTCCTGCTCCTCCTGCTCCTGCTCCCGTTGCTGCTGCTCCTCCTCGTTCCTCATCTTCCTGCGCTTCAGTGGTTGAATGGCTGGGGCCGGTTGGTGGTTATCTTCTCCTTTCCTTCTGGCATCAGCGCCGCAGCGCCAAGGGAGGATATGGCTTCAGCACACAGTGGGGCTTCTGCCCGAGCGCGCCGAGCAGGCAAGGATGCAGCCAAGGCTGCAGCGTCCTGGCCGAACAGCGGCAAGCGTGCTGGCGGATCCTTGCCGTTCCCCCCACCTCGCGCGCAGGCGGCCCATGGGCGCCATGACCACGGCACTCTGCAATGTGCTGGACCCGACGGGGATGGGGGGGGAGCAGGGGCCCATCTCGACCCGAGATCGAGCCGACTCGATACCATGTCGATTCCGGCCGGCTCGATCTGATTCGAGTCCGAAGTTCCGACCATCTGATCCTCCTCCTCCTCCCCCTCCCCCTCCCCCTCCTCCTCCTCCTCCTCCTCCTCCTCCTCCTCCTCCTCCTCCTCCTCATCATCATCCTCCTCCTCCTCTTCCCCCTCCTGCCCCCTTCCCCCTTCCCCCTTCCCCCTCCTCCCCTCCTCCTCCTCCTCCTCCTCCTCCTCCTCCTCCTCCTTCTCCTCCTCTTTCTCTTCTTCCTACTCCTACTCCTACTCTTACTATCATCCTTATTCCTTATTAGAATATACTCCTACTCCCCCCTCAGGCCGGCAGATAGGGGCCCCATCCGGGTGGTCCCATCCTAACCTGTAAAAAACAATACAAAATCAACATGTTTCTTATTTTTTCCTCTCGACATGGACGTCCTGTCGTCCACGGCGATAATCCATTGCAGAAAATACCACAAAGAGCACACGCGCGCGTTCATGTCAGAATCCTACCGAACACCGTGTGTTTGCAAGCATTTCGACATAACAACATCAAAAACCCAATGCTTTTTCACAAACAAATTACAAGTTTCCTGCCCGGGCTTTCTTGCTGAAATCATGGGAAAACCATAGGAATCTTAAGAATTCGGTCAAATCCAACGATTTCACGTCATCGCGCGGTGCACTCGCGATGCTCTGTCATGCACCCAGGCCGCGAATCTTGTGCAAAAAATGCCACGCGGGCGACATGCGCGCGCGCGTCGCCGCGAGCGCATGCTCAAATCCTTCTAGAGTCGTCGCCGTCATTGGCACCGTCGCATGGACGTCCTGTCGTCCACGTCGCAAAATGCATGGCAGCAATGGGGCTAATACTACTACTACTACTACTACTACTACTACTACTACTACTACTACTACTACTACTACTACTACTATACTACTACTACTACTACTACTACTACTACTACTACTACTACTACTACTACTACTACTACTACTACTACTACTACTACTACTACTACTACTACTACTACTACTACTACTACTACTACTACTACTACTACTACTACTACTACTACTACTACTACTACTACTACTACTACTACTACTACTACTACTACTACTACTACTACTACTACTACTACTACTACTACTACTACTACTACTACTACTACTACTACTACTACTACTACTACTACTACTACTACTACTACTACTACTTACTACTACTACTACTACTACTACTACTACTACTACTACTACTACTACTACTACTACTACTACTACTACTACTACTACTACTACTACTACTACTACTACTACTACTACTACTACTACTACTACTACTACTACTACTACTACTACTACTACTACTACTACTACTACTACTACTACTACTACTACTACTACTACTACTACTACTACTACTACTACTACTACTACTACTACTACTACTACTACTACTACTACTACTACTACTACTACTACTACTACTACTACTACTACTACTACTACTACTACTACTACTAGTACTAGTAGTACTGCAAGTACTTGTCATAGCACTACTTTTTCTGTTACTACTACTACTACCACTACCACTACCAACACCACTACCACTGGTACTACTACTCCTGCCTCTTGGGGCCTCCTGGGCCCCCTTGGGGTGTCCTGTCAGACCGTCGGGCTTCCTCCGGCCACCTCTGGCTTCCTGCGGTGTACCGGGCCATTCTCGACTCGTCTGGCAATGCGTGCGCGGCATTCAACACGCGCTCGCCAGTTCCCGTCGGCAACCGCCATCGCGGCCGCATCAGCTGTACCAAACCGGCTGGCCGGTGTGACTTCGGCCCCCAGTTGTGCCAGCTTTGCTTCTTATGTTGTGGGAGGGCGGGTGGGACTGGGCATGCCATGCTTGACTCGCTCGAGCTGGCTAGCTTGACTCCTACTCCTACTCCTACTCCTACTCTTCCTCCTCCTCCTCCTCCTCCTCCTCCTCCTCCTCCTCCTGCGCCGCGCGCGGGTCTCCCGCGGCCAGAGCGCTGCAATTGGGAGCAGGCGCGACCCTCCCACCCCTGGTGCGGCCCACCGCTCGGCGGCAAACCGCCCCCGAGGGGGAAGGGGTGCGCTGGCCGGGGCCGACAGTTGGCTTACCCGGGACCACGTAGGCGAACGCCTCGCCGTCGTGGCCGCCTGGCTTGCGGCCTGGGCCTTGCGGTCCCACCCGCCAGGCGCCGCGGTCCCACCGCCAGGCGCCAGCCCGTCGCCCGCGGCCCGGCCTGCCGCGCCGCGCCGCCCCGCCCCGCCGTCAGCCAGCGCGCCAGCCCGCCAGCGCGCCCCGCCAAGCCACCTTCGGCGGCGCCGCGCTGCGCCGCGCCAGGCCGCCCAGCGCCGGCGCCGCTGGCGCCGCCGCCGCACCGCCGTTGCGGGGCCGCTTCGGCGCGCGCCCAGCGCCCGCGGCGCAGCGCCCGAGCCCCAGCTGCAGCGGCGCGCCCGCCAGCCGCTCAGCGCGCGCCCCCAGAGCTAACCGCCCACTGGGGCCGCGCCCCCGCGCTCCGCTCGCGCGCGCGCGGCGGGGCGCCGGCTCGGCGCCGCCTGCCCCGCGGCGCGTCGCCTCGCGCGCGGCCAGGCAGGCGGGGCGGAAGGCCTCCGCGCTCCCGCGCTGCAGCGTCGCCGCGAGGCTCTGGCGAGCCGCCGGCAGCACGGCGGCGTCGCCGCGCGCCCAAGTGCGGAGGAGCGCCTGCGCCTCCGCCCCAGCGCGCCCCAGTGCTCCCTTCCAGCGCGAAGGCCGTGAGAGCCAGGCCCGGGTAGCGCCTGTGCTTGCGCTCCTCCCCGGCTGCCGCGGCCGCGCCGCCCTGGACGGCGCGGCTCCGGCCCGCCGGCGTGTCTGCGCCCAGGGCGGCGTCTGTGGCCGCCGCGTCGACGTAGGACGCGCCGGCCGCGGGGTCGGCGAAGACCACGTCGAGGCGGGCTGCCTCGACAGAGCCGTCCGCCCGAACCCAGCCCCAGGCGGGCGCCAACTGCTCCGTGCCCACGCCCGTTGCGCCCGGGGCCTGCAGCCAGCGGGCGAGCCAGTCCCTGACGCCGTCGTGGCGGTGGCTCGTGCCGCCGCCGACGTGGCAGCCCAGGCGGTGCCCCGGCGTCGCGGCCAGGTCGGCCCCGCAGATCGCGCGCCGCCCTCCCGGCGCCAGAGGCAGGTGGCGCTGGCGCAGGCAGCTGTAGTCGCAGCGCCAGGGTTGGGAGGAAGTAGTGCGCGTCTGCCATGACGTGGTCCTCCTCCGTCGGCGGCAGGAGCCGCCAGCTTCCCGCGCCCTTCCCGCTGGCCGAGCGGAGCTGCGTTGCGCGGTTCGGCGGCAGGGCGCCTTGGAGCCGCTGCCCGCGCGCGTGCTGCTCCGGCGCCGCGAGGGCCCGCTGCGCCTTGGCCCTCGGCTCCGCGGCGGCGCAAAGCCCGTCCACGCTGCGCACTTGGAGCGCGCGGCCCGCGCCGTCGGCCTCCCCCCCCCCGCGCCGTCGGGCAGGCCTGCTGCGAGGCCTCGAGGCTGGGAAGGCCAAGCTCCCTGCAGACGGACGCGCCCGCCAAGCCCCCGCAAAGGCTGGGTGCCTCCTGTGCGCGAGGTCCTGGAGGCCGAGCCCCGCCGGCGGCGAGGGGCAGGGGGGCCAGGTCGCGCGCGAGGGCGGGGGGCTCCTGGTGCCCGGTGAGCGGCTTCAGGACCTCGTGCGCGCGGCCGAGAACCATTGCGTCGCACCCCTGGCGCCGCGCCTCGTCGAGCAGGTGCGCCCTTGCGTGGTGCAGGGCCGCGCCGTTGGCGAAGGTGCGAAGCGGCGCGAGCTCGTCATGGGCGCGCAGCCCGTGCTTTCGGCGCTGGCGGAGGGCCGCGAGGTAGGCGTCGAGTTGGTCCCGGGCCGCCTGCGGGGCGGCAGCCTGCGAGAAGCTCGTCCGCGCAGGGTCGGCGCCCGGGGCTGCTTCCGCGGCGTGGCGGACGCGAGGCGGATTTCTTCCCGCGCGCGTGAGTTCGGGCACCTCCGCCCTGGCCAGCGGCCCAGGGAGCTGCAGGGCGCGCGGTCTCCACGCCTTCGTCTTCTGTGGGTTCGCGCGGAGGCCCCGCGCCGAGAAGAGCCCCGGCGCGACGAGGAGTGCCGCTGCCAGTGCGCGCGGGCTGCCCGCGACGTACACGTCGTCGAGGTAGACCACCGCCTTGGCCTCGGGGCCCAGGCGGCGCGCCGCCGTCTCCAGGCGCCCGTAGAGCGCCCCCTTCGCCACTGCGAAGAACGCAGGGGGCAGGGGGCAAGCAACCTTGGTCCACCCCGCGCTGCGCTGTGACCGGCGCCGCCCTGGCCCGGGGAAGGCGGACCCCGTGCGTGGTGGTGCCGCCGTGCCGCGCCGCCGCGAGCCGCGCCAGCTCCGGCGGGCGGGCTGAGACCTCCCGCAGCAGCGTCTGGCCGGTGCATAGGCCTTTTTTTTTGGCCCTGTAGAACTGAGGATGTCCAGGAGTGTCCGAATCACGAAATTCTCGGCGTCTTCTCTGGATGAACAAGCATACCACAACAAACATGATCAAACGGGGACTACAACACCGCGAGCATAACACCAATCATAACAACAACAACATCAACAACAACGACAACAACAACATATTACATCAAACGTCAAACACCAGATGACCAACATACCACATCAAATAACAACGATACCACACATCATCAGACAAGAACATGAAGCATTAAGGAAGAACCACACCACATCAAACATAACAACAACATACCACACATGACAACAACACCGCGAATCATCAAACAAAGCACAACACACATACTCAACGGGCAAACGACGAAGCACGCATAGTGCCATCACACAAGGCATGCGCTTAAAACGCAAAGAGCCAAACACTGAAACCGACTGGCAGTTAGACCATAGATCTCACACGCCCACAAGGGGTCGGCGGATTTCACCATG